AAGTTGTAGTAGTCGTAGTAGTCGTCGTAGCCCTAGTAGTAGTAGTAGCCGTAGAAGTTGTAGTAGTAGTAGTAGTACTAGTAGCAGCAGTAACAGTAGTAGCAGTGATAGTAGTGGTAGTAGTCGTAGTAGTAGCAGTAGTCGTAGCAGTAGTAGTTTTAGTAGTCGTAGTAGTCGTAGTAGTAGTAGTAGTAGTAGTAGGAGTAGTAGTAGTAGTGGTAGTAGTAGTAGTAGTAGTAGTAGTAGTAGTAGTGGTAATAGAGTAGTAGTCGTAGTAGTAGTAGTAGTATGAGGAGGAGGAGGAGGAGTAGTAGTAGTCGTTGTCGTCGTAGTAGTCGTCGTCGTAGTAGTAGTAGTAGTATTAGTAGTAGTATTCGTAGTAGTAGTAGTAGTAGTAGTAGTAGTAGTAGTAGTAGTAGTAGTAGTAGTAGTAGTAGTAGTAGTAGTAGTAGTAGTAGTAGTAGAAGTAGTAGTAGTAGTAGTAGTAGTAGTAGTAGTAGTAGTAGTCGTCGTAGTCGTAGTCGTAGTCGTAGTCGTAGTCGTAGTCGTAGTCGTAGTTTTAGTCGTAGTCGTAGTCGTAGTAGTAGTAGTAGTAGTAGTAGTAGTAGTAGTAGTAGTAGTAGTCGTCGTATTTTTATTTTTATTCTTATTATTATTATTATTAGTAGTAGTAGTAGTAGTAGTAGTAGTAGTAGTAGTAGTTTATTAGTAGGAGGAGGAGGAGGAGTAGCAGTAGTAATAGTTGTAGCAGTAGTAGTCGTAGTGTTGGTCGTCGTCGTCGTCGTCGTCGTCGTCGTCGTCGTCGTAGTAGTAGTAGTAGTAGTAGTAGTAGTAGTAGTAGTAGTAGTAGTAGTAGCAGCATGTCGTTCCAGCGATCCGCTTTTCTGGTGACTGCACACGCCGCCCATGTTCCAGTTGCATCCAGCGCGCGGCCTCAGCCTGTGGCACGTGTGAATCCAGCCATGTGACCATGTGTGTTTCCAGCTTCTTGGCAGACGGGGTCCGATCCATCGGCGGTGCGGTGCGAGCTGGGGTCAGATCTTCTCCGTCCCGACGCCATCGGTGCACTTGCTGAGCATCGGGGAGGCGGCGCGATCGTCTGACGCCATCTGCTCTGACCCCATTCCCTGACATCCGCCGATCTGATTTGTTCGATCCGCGTCTCCAGGCCCCAGAGGTGCCGACTGCTTCCACGGCAGGTGTTCCTTCGCCCCGGATCCGTTTTTCTATGGCGGGGGGGGGCGATGACGCGCCCTGCGGAGGCCGAGATCAAGGGAAAACGCCCGGATTGACAGAATGGCATCTCGTCGGAGGCCCGGGTTTGAGAGGCGTCCACAGGTGGCCCAGTCCCTCGGCTACAACGTCGCGCCCGTGGGGGTGCCCACTGCGGCCGCCTACGGCGACCTACCCGCCGCCGCGCCGCCGTACGGCCTGAGCACGCCGAATCCGGCGCCGATGATGGGGATGGCCGGGGCCTGGGAGCTCCGGGGCCGTCAGGGGCAATCGATGCGGGGTCAGGGCAGGGCTTCCCGATGGATCCCGGTCCGAGGACGTCGTCGTCCGGGCTTCGTGCAGCGCCAGGGAGGGGGGGATGGTGCTCAGGGGGGCGGGGGGGGGGGATCGGCCCCCGATCGCCCACTCGTCGCCGATAGGGGCCCGACAGCCCACCCCTCCCAGGGCGAGTCACTCAGATTTGTGGTCGGAGGCACACATCGCCGATCAATCGGCGATGCACCGCCGATTCTCAGGAGCGAAGGAAGGACGTACACGTACATGAATCCACGTTGGTTTCGAAGGTACGCATTGCGCGAGCGTTCGTATCGCGTGGCTGGTCTCGCGGACTGGGAGGCCGTATTCATGTACGTGGCTTGGCGCGTACGACAGGTTCGCGTCTTGTCGACCGGCGGCGACCCCGCCGGCGGCGTTCAACGCTGAACGCCGGCGGCGACCCAGAGTCGGTCGATGTTGAAAGATTGGACGTTGCGGGAACGGGCGATCGTTCAAGGCGAAACGATCCATGGTGTGCCAGAAACCAACGCCAGGGTCGTCACGACGCGAACCTGCCGTACGTCTTTTTGGGGGCTCCCCAGGTTCCAGGTCAGTCTGTGCCCCCGCCCGGGGCCAGTGCTCGCCCCTGGGCTCGTTGCCCCCCCCCCCCCCCCCGAGCCAGGTCGGTGCTTCTGCCCCCCCGCCCGGGAGCCATGCCGATGCTTCCCCCGCCGAGCCAGTCTCGGGGGCCCCCCAACGGGGTGGTGACCACACCGTGTGGTGAGTCGGTTGGGATTCGGGGTCACCGCACGGTCTTGGGACTCGGGTCGTGCTCCGGGGAGGTCTCGGGCGACGGGCGTCCGAGGTCCGAGGACCGTGCGTTGACGGACCGTGCGGTGAGGTCTTGGGGGATTGCGAGGTCACCGCACGGTCTGTCACCGCTCCCTCTACAGGAGGAATATTCAAGAACAGTCCAAAAATAGTCTGGGGACGATTGGTCTAGTATTCTTTCACTACTCTTGATTTTTGTTTTACTAGTTTCTATTCTTCGTGCAACATCCCCCTGTAGGAGGACTTGCCCGACCGCCGACGTCGACAATGCATCGCTGGTGCGTCACCGATCCATCGCCGATGCATCGCCGACGCGGGGCGGGATCCTCGACCCCATCTACTCCGACCCCCACCAAGGAGGCCTCAGAGGACGGTCCCCCTCCGGAAGCCAGGTCGACGCTGCCCCCTCTGAGTCGGTCCCCCCCCCAGCAGCCTTGCCCCCTCAGGAGCTGGGGCCAGCGGCGGCCCTGCCCGCGGTGCTCGCGCAGTCGGTGATGGCGCAGCTGCGCGCCCTCCGCGCCGCCGAGGCCGCGGGGACGCAAGCTGTGCACCGGCAGCGAGTCTGGCCAGGGTTCGGCGACTGCAGACGTCGGAGAAGAACAACGCCATAGCCGTAAACTTTTGGCCCTCCGCGCGGATCTCTCGCATCCGCGCTGGGCCCCCCCAGCGGCGCCAGGGGCGCCGCCCCTGGCGCGCTCCGCGCGCCAGGGAGGGGGGTCCGGCGCGGATCCGAGAAATCCGCGCAGAGCGCCAAAAGTTTATGTTTACGCCGCTTTCTCTTCTTCTAGACAAGCGGCGTGGTTTCGCCTGGGGGTGTTTTGCGGTCGGCGTGGGGGGCACCACGCTGCCCTCGGCCGGCCTCGCGGCGCGGCGGGGAGCTCTGTCGAGGCCCTCGCCCGCCCGCCCCGCGCGCGAGCTGCAAACCACACCTTTTGCGAGCCACATCCTTCGGAGTTGCCGGAGGGTCCATGTCCTGAAGCAGTGGCGAAGTGTCCCCACCTGCCGCTGGGCCCGCCACATCATGTTCTAAGAAAATGATGTGGCGTGCGCGAGATGTTCCTAAAACGCTTCTGGCTGAGACGGCTTTTTTAATATGTATATATATATATGGCATTACGGTCTAAGACAATCGTGCTTGTTTTGAGTACACTCTTTCGCTCTAAGATCATGTCGTGATCGGCCTACAGGAACGCACCGGCTTTCTGTTCTGAGAACGTTGCTTTTGCTATCAGTGCATTCACATGTTCTGGGAACATGTCGTGGTAGGTCCATAGCAATGCCGGGACGGTCGGTCCCTGCTCAGTTTCCGCGGACGAGTTTTGTGCACCGTACCGCGTTGGCGTCTCTCGAGACGCCGTCGATCCTCGACCGAGGAACGGCACTGTGCATAGTTATTCGTTTCCCAGCGCCGGAAAACTATGCACCGTACTGCCTTGGAGCGGGACCTGAAGGGATTTCAAGCATGGTACGATACATGGGCGCCGTTCTCGTACCCCTTCGATCCGGTCGAACCGATTCACAGAGGAGGGCTGGGTAGTCGAAAGCCAGACTGTCAGATTGGATTGGGCCCCCAGGGCCAATCTGGCCCGGCCAAACTGGATGATTTGGGTTATTCGCCAGACTGGATTCGCGTTGGCTCTCTCGCCAGATTGCCCCCGTTTGCCAGATCGGGCCTGCCAGATTGGCGCCAGATTGGCTTCGACTACCCGGTCCGGTCGAACCGATTCACAGAGGAGGGCGAGTTGAGAAAACGAAAATGATGCCTTTCGGGGGGGGGGCCCTCGCCGCACGGCTGGACGCAGCTCGGAGAACTGGTGCCTTTCTCAACTCACTCAGCTCCGATTATTCGATGTCGATTCCGGCTGGCCCGATCCGATTCGATTCCGACAGTCCAACGCTTCGACGCGGACCGATGCTCGCACAGTGCGCGGTTCTGCACCGTGGAGCGGCCGATCCGATCCGGTTCCGACTCTGCCGATGCGACCCGGTCTGACGCAATTCCCGAGTCGATCCGATTTCCCGATCCGATGCTGATTGATTCTGGAATGTGAGCCGATCTTGGGCACAGGATCGGTGTATACACCCATCAGGCTCAGCCATGAAGGTGTGCTGAGACACCTGTGTTGGGGGGCCCAGGATGTCGGTTTATAGCTGGCATCCTCCAGAGAGGAGCCGCATTCGCGCCATCGACTGGACACCAGAAGCAGCATGGGGGCGTTCCTCGTGGCTGTGCCGACGTCTGACCTCGCCTGAGCGCACTGTCTGAGATCTGCGCGCCCGGGCGGCAGGACGATTCCCAGCAGAAGATGCTGCTTCATGCCAGCCCTCGAAAAGAATACATACAGCCATTGATTGGTAGAAGGAGGGCCACCACCACCACCACCACCACCACCACCACCACCACTAACACCTGGAGGAGTGGCAGAGAGGCGATCATGGGCATTGGTAGTATGTACGTGCGGTATCTGCCCCGTGGAGCCAGATCCTGCACGTCGGCATGCCACAATGTCGGCAGGTGCCAGGGCCTGTGCTCCCAAGCTTGTTCTGGTGGTGCGGTTCCTTCTGCCTGCGTTGCGATCCCTCCCCGGACGGTTTGGCAATGCGGGCTGGTGGCGGAGCGAGAGAGGGAGGGCGGGAGAAAGACAAAGAACTGGCACCCGTGACTCGCCCCCTCTCCCAGTTTGGGTGAAAGTTGGGCCTAGGCGTTAGGCAGCACGGGCATGAGAGGACAGACGAGCGAGAACTCCTCCTCCTCCTCCTCCTCCTCCTCCTCCTCCTCCTCCTCCTCCTCCTCCTCCTCCCTCCTCCTCCTCCTCCTCCTCCTCCTCCTCCTCCTCCTCCTCCTCCTCCTCCCCCTCCTCCTCCCCCTCCTGCGCAGCCGCGTCGGCGTGCAGAGCGCATGCACGGGCCCTGCCCGGGCGTCCGCTGCCGCCCCGTCGCGCCGCGCTGCCGCGGGCCCGCGGCAGCGAACACCGGAGAGACCGCGGCGAGCCGAGGGCCTGCCCCCGAACAGCCCGTGCGGGGCAGTGCCCGAGCGCGCCTGTGTGCCAAGGGCTGCCTCTCCCCCCCCTGGCAGCGAGCGCGCAAAGGCGTTGATTCCGACATGCGCGCGCGAGAGGTGAAGAGCATGCGCGCCTGCTCGCGCGCGCAGCGGCCGGCTTGTCCGGCGCGACCGACGCGGCCGCGGCGGCGCTGGCCGCTGGGCACTTCCTGGCGGGAACTTCTGCGCGAGTCGGGTCTGGCTCCGCCGATGGCTTCCGACTCCGAATCGGGTCGACTTGGGATTCAGATGTGGGTTCCGATGTCTTCTGGAAGGCCTCATGGCCTGCCGATATCCGCCGAGTCGACTCTTTTTTCCGGCTCGGCTGCCGCTTTCCGCCGATCCGATTCGTGTCGATCGCCGATCCGATTTCTCGATTCGATTCAGGGCTCTCTTGAGTAGCTGGGGCTCCTCCTTCTTATGCGCGTCTTCGCCGGCAGTTCCCGCGTGACCAGGCGCACCGAGTCCGTGGCAATGCCGCCTCTCTGGACCCATGGTTCGCCTTACAAACGCCCTGGGCGTTTTTGTGTAGCGTTTTCTATTTTGGGCTCTTGACAGGCTGAAGACGCTAGAAACAACGCTCCTTTTTAAAGCGTTTTTAGGGCAGTTGGTGTTGCGCTTCTTGTCATGAATTTTGTTTTACGTTTTCAGTCTGAAAGCGCTAACACAATGTCTAAAAACGTCAAAAACCGCATCATGTGTTTGGGGTTTTTAGTTTTTTGATGAGACCTGACAGCGCAAACAAATGATGTCCAAGACGCCGAGCTGAACACGCTAACAAAAAACGCCCTGGGCATATTTTAAGGCGAACCAAGTCTGGACCACGTCGGGCACATCATGCCGAATGATTCGCCGACACTAACGCAAGATCTCACACTTTGGTCCCCGTCGCAGCGCGGCAGAGGCAATCCGCTCGCGCGTTCTAGTAGCAGGGGGCGCGCGGCGCAGTAATCAATCGGCAGGAAGAGAAAGAAAAAGGAAGAGCAACTGGCAGGGTCGAACAGGAACGGGGCTCCCTGTTTTGTCTGTGTCCAGGCGTGGGCGAGATGGGGGATGACGGGGGAAACGGGGGGAGGGCACGGGCAACGGGGGGGAGGTTGTGGAAGAGGGCGAGGAGAGAGAGAGAGAGAGAGAAAGAAAGAAACAAAAGAGAGGGAGAGAGAGAGAGAGGGAGAGAGCGAGAGGAGATAGGGGAGAACACAGGGGGGGATGGGTGAAGGGAGGGACTTGAGGCATGCAGCCATGGAGGAAGCCCTGCGACCAGAACACCACCTGGCGAAGAGCCGAACCCACTGTAAACGCGCGGCGGGGTACTGTAAGGAGCGCCCACTGCGCATGAACACGTTGAGGGATATGCAGTACCCCACCACCACCACCATAAGTTGGAGGGGGAGGGGGTCCTCCTCCACCTTCTCCTCCTCCTCCTCCTCCTCCTCGTCCTCCTCCTTATTTTCCTCGTCCTCCTCCTCGTCCTCCTCCTCCTCCTCCTCCTCCTCCTCCTCCTCCTCCTCGCCAAAAAAAATCAAAACTACACCCAACGCCGCCCTGGTGGCCTTCGGTGGAGGTTCCAATGGGGCCACGAAGCGTGTGATGGGAGTGCCGAAATGGACCCGAGTACGAGTACACAAGGCGGACCCTGCCACTGGAGCCCTCTCTGGATCTCCCTCTGGGGCCACGAAGCGTGTGTGTGGAGTGCCGACATGGACCCGAGTACACAGTGCGAACCCTGCCATTGGAGCCCTCCCTGGAGCTCCCTCTGCGGCCACGGAACGTGTGAGGAGCATGCTACAATGGGCCCGAGTGCACAATGCGAACCCTGCCACCAGAGCCCTCGGTGGAGCCTCCTTTGCGGCCACGAAGCGTGTGAGGGGTGTGCCAACATGGTGGTGGTGGTGGTGGTGGTGGTGGTGGTGGTGGTGGTGGGGAGACGGAATCATAGGATGAGGAGGAAGTATCGGGAGGAGTGCGGCGGAAGAGGTGAGGAAGAAGCGGGAGGAGTGCGGTGGAGTGCATCGTATTGGAAAGTTGCGCAGCGGCATTCGAAGAATTCTTGACGCTTCGCGTATCCCCACCAGTTACCGACGTTTCGTTGGCCACGGCCGCCCTGGTGCCACGCAGTCGTCTGAGGTACGATATCACGTTTTCTCTCTCGGAGTTGTCCCTGGCCGTCGTTGACTTTCCAACGTTTGGCGCCTCCGACGGACCTGCAGCTGTGCACGCCGGCAGTTCCCCTCAGTCTCAGTCCCCTCAGCCACCCTTCTCAGGTCTCGGCCGCGCTTAGCTGTCGCCTCGCGCGTTGCTCTGTTTGTTTTCCCCGCGTTTCCTGTGCCTAACTAGTATCTGCGTAGCCCGCTTTGGCCTGACTCGCCGCCGGCGCGCTCGCCCGCGGCCGCTGACTAAAAAAATCCCCACCAGAAGCAGTCGGTTCTCCTCTGGCGCCCGGTGGCGACAAGGATTCATTCCCGTGCTTTGCGATCTCGCCAGGGTGCTCGCACGTTACAACTTCCCAGCCGCCTCCGCAGCTGGCAGCTCCCACCCCTCGGCGCAGCCCAGCCCCGTCGCAGCTTCCCTCGGCGGTAGGTTTAGTCTGCTTGCTCAGCGCGCGCGCCGGCAATTAGGGTGCCCGCGGCCCGTGCTACTCTACTGACGCTGTCGGCGCTCTCGCATGCAACTGCGATTCAAAAATATCCCCACCAGCCCATTCAGAGACAGCTTGCCAGGCAAATTGCAGCGTTGTTGTGAGAGGTTCTCGGGTTTTTTCTTGTACGTCGCCCTTTTGGGTTTCTCTTGAGGTCCTCTTGGGGCCCTTTTGGGGCCATCCTGAGGCCTTCTGAGCGCACTCTGGGGGGCCTGAGGGTTCGCTTTGGCCCCCGTAGCTCAAAAGGGGTGGGTCCTCAATTCAGGTCCCCCCCTCGGGGGCTCAAAAATTGCCTCTTGGGGTCTTTTTGGGGTGCCCTTGGGGTGCTCTTGGGCCCTCTTGGTCCCCTCTTGGGGCTCTTTGAGGCCGCGGAAGCTCAACAGAAACAAAGGGGCCAGAATGCAAAACTCATTGATATCTTAATGTTTTGGAGCCATTTTGGCCTCCTGGGGGGTCCTTAAAGGGCCCAGGGCCGTCTTGAGGCCGTCTTGGGTCGTCTTCGATGCATGGGAGAGGCTATCTTAAGCCACCTTCGGCTCTTTTGAGCCATCTTGTAGGCCATTTTGGTTTCTTTGAGGCCCTCTTGGAGCCATATTGGGCCATCTTGGGCGGTCTAGTGCCTGGCGCCCCCCCCCCGTTTTACCAGGCCCAGGGGAGGACGTAGGGGGAGGGGTCAAGCTACCCACCCGCCAGCAAGCCGTCTAGCTGACTCCCACCCGCCCTCCCAACACATAAGTAACACCCGAGCCTGAGCATGTTCAGCGTGTGTCTTTGGATGGACAGCTGTTGGAATCACAGCCGACCCCACGTGCGCGACGCTAGGGCGAGGTGCGCCACGCGTGCCAGGCGCGCCACAGGCACGCCTGGTGCGCCAGATGCGCCACTTGCTCCGCGTGCGCCAGGTGCGCCGCGCATTCCAGCCGCGCCAGCTGCGCCACTTTTGGGGCACGCGCAGAGTGTGTCAGGAGTGCCTGCGCACGTGAGACATCACACATCGGGAAACATGTCGGCCCCCACCAACCTTGTCGAAAACCAATGCCCATCATTGTGTCCGGTGGGCCTGCGCACAGCAGGCCACGCGCCACCACCCCCGCCGCGCCTGTTAAAAGCAACTTGACAGTGATCGCGGGGTGGCCGCACAGGATCCAGATGTACCCACGAGGTGAATGTTGTATTCTTTTTTGTTAGGGATGGTAGCCCTGCGCACAGCAGGCAATATGCTGACACCCCCGCCGTCCCGATCAAGAAACCATGCAAAGTGCTCGCGGGCCTCACGAACATGGTTCCTGGTTGGCCGCCGGTCGCTTGGGGGAGGGGGTGAAACAGTGATAAACTTTCCCCGGGGCAGGGGGAGGAGGGGTTGTGGAAATAGAGAAGACAGAATTCGTCAAAACACCTAAGCCCAGAGGACTGGTGGGGTTTTTGGACGACACTCGCGCGGAACAGCGCGCATTGAAGGGGCAATCGTGCAGCTCATCTTTGGGAAGTTACCGTAGATTGGAGCTGAATTGCGAAGTCAAAACGACGACCCGACACTCAGGGGGGTAGGGCCTGGGAAAAATCTCCTACCAGTGCACAGGTCGGGTGCGATTGGGATGGTCACGCGAGGCATACCAGGAGCGCACAAAGAGGGAGGCGGGGCGTGGGATGGTGGCCTTCTCTGGGGATCCCCACCCCGCCTCTCGGACGGCGTTGGGCGTTTGGGTTCTGAGGTGATTGGAAACGACGACGACGATGGCGACGACAACGGCGACGACGGACAACGGACGACGACGACGACGACGACGACGACGGCCGACGACGACGACATCGACGACGGACGGCGACGACGACGACGACGACGACACCGCGGTCGACGACGACGACGACGACGACGACGGCCACGACGACGACAACGACGGACGACGACGGATGACGACGACGACGACGACGACGACGGACGACGACGACGACGGACGACGGCAATGACCGCCATGACCGCAAGACGACGACGACGGCGACGACTGACAACGGACGACGGACGATAGACGACGGACGACGGACGATTCGACGGACGACGGACGGTCGACGACGACCACGACCACGACCACGACCAAGACGACGACGACGACCTCGCCATCGTCGCCGTTGTCGTCGTCGTCGCCGTTGTCGTCGTCGTCCGCCGCCGTTGTCGTCGACCGCGGCGGCGCTGCGTCGTCGCCCGCGCGCCCGGCAGACTACACGTGCCTGGACAGGGCGCTGCGCGACCACGAGGCGCTGCAGCGCCTCCGGGCCGAGGTGGCCGCGCAGCAGGCGTGCGCGCCTTTGCCCAGCGGCCCGCCGGCCCGCGCGCCGCCTGCGCTCGCCATGGTCGGGGGTCGTTTCGGGACGATCGGCACGGGTGCGGAAAGATGGCGGCCATGGAAAGGGGGGGTCCTCCTCCCCCTCCTCCTCCTCCTCCTCCTTATCCTCCTCCTCCTCCTCCTCCTCCCTCCTCCTCTTCCTCATCCTCCTCCTCCTCCTCCTCCTCCTCCTCCTCCTCCTCCTCTCCCTTCTCTTCCTCCTCCTCCTCCTCCTGCGGTCGGGCCGACCTGCGATCACGTACCGGCGTGGGTCGGCGCAGCGGAGACCGGGGCGTGACCACGCCCTGTGCTTGAGGGGGGACTCGGAGAGAGGCTGCAGAAGCATCTCAGGCAGGCCCCGAGCAGGCTTCAAGGCTTCGGAGAGCACGGCGAACGACAAGGAAAAGACGTTGGGCCACCAGGTGGGGCGAGGCGGCCGAGGAGGACGCGGAGGAGGCAGCCGTGTTCCCCCGTGGCGGGAGGGCGCACGGGGCAGCGGGCGTGCGCCGAGCCGCTTGCGCCAGGCCAGCCTGGGCCGCAGAAGCGTGTACCTGGTGCGCCCGAACTGCCCCAGCGACGAGAGCTGGATCTGGGCCAAGAGAGCAGGCACCCCTGGCTGGGAGTGTTGCCGCAGCTGCGACTACCAGCGGCCCACGTCCCTGGCGGACGCCCAGCAAGCGGAGCTCGAGAAGCAGGCGCTGGCAAAGCTGGGTTTCAACGATACCAGCCTGCAGGTGCTGCAAGCGGTCGTCTCCGCGGCCAAAGGCTCGGGCGACAGCGCCACAGCGAAGGCGGCGGGCCCAGCTGGCCAAGATCCTTGTCCTGGCGCTTGCGGGCGCCGCGGAGCAGCCGAACGAGCCGCAGCTGAGGTCAGGCTGGAGGCGGCAGCATTGCGATGGCGCCCGGCACAGCAACACCAGGAGAAAACGGCCAAAAAACACAAGGTGGAGCAGCGCAAGAAGGAGTTGGTCGGCAGACTGGACGAGACCATCAGTGAGGTGCTTGCGGCCAAGCTGGAGCTGGACGCGCTGCAGCAGGATATGGGCATGGCAGGAGAGGCCTCGTCCGAGCCCACAGCTCGAGCCATGGCGCCTGCTGACACCTGGGTCCCAGGTGTCAGCAGGCGCCATGGCCTGGGATTAGTTCCCCGGGATTGAACAAGAAGATCTCAAGCTGCTTGATGAAGAAAGCTGCAACAGTCACGACCAACAAACAGCAGGCCTGGCGGCGAGGGCCAAGGACATGTTCGAGGCTTGCCAAAGGAGGGCAGATCGGTCAAGGAGGTGGCCGGGACGCTCACAGAGATACAGGCCAAGGTCTTGGGAGGTGGCGAGAGGAGCGTCCTGGGGGCTCAGCCCCAAGGCCTATGCACTGGGCCGCGCATTTGGGGGCAGCCTGTGATAAATTACCCCAGTGACCGACGGAGCGATGGAGGGCCCAAGCCAACCGAAGGGTCGGGCATTAGATACTACTGCGAGGACAAGAGCTTCAAGCAGGTGCGCTTCATGGGCGAAGCCAAGATGGCGCGCGCACGTGGGCCAGACTGCCATGCAGCTGCTGTCGAGTGGCCAGTGCGAGCAGCCGATCGACAGCGGCAGGACCGAGGAAGCCAGTGAAGAAGCGGGGTGGTGAAGGCAGGTCTAGTTGCTAGGCAAGTAACAGCCGTTGAAGCATCGGGAGTGCGCGCAGGTCTTCTTCGGCAGCTGCAGCCATTGCAACGACGCCACCAAGGCATTCTCCGAGGCAGGGCAGGCCTTCGACTTGATGGGATTGACCGAACACCACCTGCTGCAAGCGCAGTGCGATGCAGAAGAGCAGCGCCCCAGGGCCTTCGGTGGGCGCCCCCGCTCGTGGACAGGCGCCGCGCCGAGTCAGCGGCCAAGGTCCCGAGGCCGACGGGCAGGCACGCACGGCGGAACACGTTGGCTCATATGCAGCGAGCTGAACACCTGCTCGTGAAAGGGGCGCGTTTCACGGCCAACTGACGGACGCGACGGTCATTATGCCCAGGGTCCAGAGCGGCACTTTTGTGCTCATCAGCTGCTACTTGGACTGCAGCCTGGGGCTCGCAGGCGTGAGCGCGACCAAGATGGGCAACCTGAGCGGATGCGGAACGCCCGCCCGGATCTCCCGAGAGGCTTCTGGGATTTCCCGAGAGGATTCTGCGCGCGTCCGAGAGGCCCCAGAAAGCTCCCGCGAGGCATCTGGGCATCCTTTAGAGGTCCCGAGAAGCCTCTGGGAGTTCCCTGCAGGCTTCGAGGCTTCTGGGAGCTACCGATGCGCTTCTGGAGCTTCCGATGGGGGCGCTGCGAGCTTGCGGGGCCGTCTTGAGGGCTGGCTCCGAGATTTCTCGGGCGTTTTCGTGTGGCGTTTCGACAGCCTCTTGGGCCGTCTCAGAGACGTCATCAGAGTTTGCGGGGCCATTTTCTACGTTTGCCAGAACGGGAAGGCCTCGGTGCGTAAAAGAGAACCCAACGTAGTATGTTCATTGCGGCCCGTCGGGGGCCTCCTGGGTGAGCCGTTGGGGTCTTCGGTGGGAGTCTTGGGGCTCTTGGAGCACGGTGAGCGAGGAGATGGCGATGGCCGCGGCAACGGCGACGATGGGGTTCATGATGATAATCAGGCGGAGGATGGGGGGGATGTGAGTTTAGAGGAATTCAGCAGTAGGAATCAGCAGGGCAAAGCAGATTTCAGCAGGGTTCGGCAGGGCTTCGCAGGGCTTGCCAAAGTTCACCAGGATTTATCAGGGCTTACGAGGGCTTATCAGGGTTTGGCAACGCTTACCAAGGGCCAGCAGGGCTCCGCCATGTTTAGCAAAGCTTAGCAGCACTTAGCGCGGCGAAGCATGGCTTGCCAGAGCTTGCAGGGCCCAGCAGAGCCCAGCAGGGCGCTGCAGCGAAGTGTCCTCGCCGCCCTGGCGCAACACTGCCGGCTAAATATTGTCGCGCCCTTCGCTTGAAGCTGCCAGCGAAATGCCCTCACAGCCCCTGGCCAAAAATCGCCAGCGAGATTTCCTCATCCCCTGGCCGAAAACCGCCGGCGAAGTATCCTTAAACCCCGCGGCCATAAAACTGCCAGCGAAATATCCCCACCGCCCCTGGCCTATAACCGCCGGTCAAATCTCCTCACCCCATGGCCGGACTTAAGACTGCCAGCGGAATATCCTCACCACTCCTGGCCTAAAACTGCCAACGAAATATCCCCCCCTGGACTTCAAACAGCCAGCGAAATACTCTGCAATACCCTGACATAGAACTATCAGTGAAATACTCCAGGCTTGAAGCTGTCATCGCAATATCCCCACCGCCCCTGGCCTACAACTGCCAGCGGCATATCCTCACCCCTTGTCCTAAGACCGCCAGCGGAATATCCTCAACCCTTGGCCTTCATACTGCCAACGAAATATCTTCACCGCCCCTGGCCTAAACCTGCCAGCCAAATATCCTCACTCCCTGGACTTACAACTGACAGCGAAATACCCTCACCACCCTGGCTGAAAATTGCCACCGACATATCCTTACCCCCAGGGAAAAAAAACTGTCATGTGACGGCTTTGGTGCTTCAGTTGTCAGTCAGTCAGTCAAGCAAACAGTCAGTCTACTGCCCGAAAATGAAGTTACGGGCTGCGCGCGTGAAAAAGTAATGGGGAAAAAGATTATGGACGGTACATTGCGTAATGCTGATGTTGCTTCCAGCTGTCTAAGGCGTTTCCTGGCGCGGATTGGGGCTCCACCCGATGCCTCTTGTGCGCCTCTCGGGGCCTTTAGGGCCATCCACTTGTGCAAACGCGGGAGGCGCCCGGACAGCAAGCCCGCTCAGGCGCGACGAGATCCAAGTCTGGGTGAAGGCGCGTTCGGCGCTGCCGGCGTGCCGTCTGCGTGCCCAAGAGACCAGTTCACAGAGACGACAAAATGCGAACGCTTTGCCGCCCCTTTTCCCACCTGTTTCCCACTTCCCCCTCCCTCGATGCCGCTGTCACACGCCAGTTGGGCGGCGCAGCGCCCGCAGCCGCAGCAGCAACGTGCCAAAGATCAGCGCACCGGGGGCAGGGCCGAGTTGGTGCTGCCGACGGCGACGGCCAGAGCGTAATGAACTGCTTGCAAATCGCGTTTGCCCGTGCTCGCGGCCGTATGGTCGCCCTCCCCAAGGAGGCCGCCAATCTGGAATCTGGATCTGACCAGGCCCCTCACGAACACGTATAGCAGTGTGTAACCTCGATGCCGACCCGCGTGCCACTTCGGGCGGCTAGGCGCGGGGCGGGTCGAGGAGAGGGGCAGTTGCCCAGCCGCGGCCGCCGCCCCGACGCATGTTCAGCCCGGCCATTCGGCGCGGGGTTGGGCGCAGCCCTCGTTGCCGCCCAGTGGGGGACATAACGGGACCTCCTTTGCCCAGAGCATGCCGAACTCCCGACTCTGGGTTTTCATAACCAAAACCATAACCAGGAGAGGGGCGGTGGGGGAAGGAGGACGCCGACGTCGTGAGGGGGACGGAGGGAGATTGGTGGGGAGGGGGAGGGGGAAAAGGAGGAAAAAGAGGGGAAGGTGGCGGACGAGGAGGAGGAGGAGGAGGAGGAGGAGGAGGAGGAGGAGGACGACGACGACGACGACGACGAGGGCGGAGGAGGCGGAAGGCGAGGAGGGGGTAGGAGAGGGAGGAGACGGCGGAAGGAGCAGCCGGAGGAGTTGGACGACTGGGCTGGATTGGTGAGGCGGAGGACGGAGGACGAGGACAAAGAGGAGTTGGCGAAGTGCGGGGGTCGGAGGTAGGGCCCGAGAGGAGTCGCGGTCGGCGCGGGCGCCCACGCGCCGCGCAGAGCCTTCCAAGAACGTCCCCCGCAGTCGCCCAGGGAGACTCCAAGCGCGAGTTGCCGGGCACGTAGGGGCGCTCGGGCATCCCCCCTTAGGGCGCTCTGGGTCCTCATGGCTGCCCTGGACTGCTTCCTGGCCTTATCCAGCGATTCCTGGATCGTCCATCAGGAAGTGCGCTACCGCATGGTGATCCTTGCGGGATGATGTCCATCCTCATCCGATCCTATGGGATTGGCTCGAACTGCTCGATTGACACATATATACATGTATGTGTGTATGTAGGTATGTGTGTATGTATGTATGTATGTATGTATGTATGTATGCATGCATGCATGCATGCATGCATGCATGCATGCATGCATGTATGTATGTATGTATGTATGTATGTATGTAGGTATGTAGGTATGTAGGTATGTAGGTATGTAGGTATGTAGGTATGTAGGTATGTAGGTATGTAGGTATGTAGGTATGTAGGTATGTAGGTATGTAGGTAGGTAGGTAGGTAGGTAGGTAGGTAGGTAGGTAGGTAGGTAGGTAGGTATGCATGTAGGTATGTATGCATGTAGGTAGGTAGGTATGTATGTATGTATGTATGTGTGTGTGTTTGAAACATATAATTGGCGCGCGTAGGTTCCTGCTGAGCCGGGGCGGAAAGGGCGTCACATATCCACAGGACCGCCGCCTTGGGGGCCGAGTTCTGGAGGCCTCGGCAGGCGGCGGATGTGGATATGCATGTCTGGACACGACGGAAGAAAACACATACACACACCCACGCATGCCCGTAAGGGGGGTCGGAGGCAGGAGGAATTGTTCTGGGTACGGGTGCGGGTTGTCGGACCCCGGGGGGGGGGGGGGGCTCCCGTTCGAGCGGGGGCCCCAATCCGCCAGCACGCACGCATGCTGGCCCTCTCCGCCCCCCCTTGTGAGAACGGGCGCGTGTCGTTCGCTCGTCATTGGAACCTACGCTTGGCGTTCCAGGTCCAGATCTGCTTTGGGCGCCTTCTTGTTTCAAGGGTTCGGCGGCGTTCCCGCTTCCATCTTCTTGACGGGGGCGGGTGGATGCGCAATCTGCTTCCAACGTGTTCCTGCGTCATGCTCCCATCGGCTTTTTCCCGACCGAGGGGAATTCGGGCCAAAAGGGAGGTGCGAACATGTCCATGTTCGGCACGAACGAAATGGGTACGGAAAGAATGGGTACAATGCCCAACAGCAGTTCCTGTTCACTTTGAACAGGACTCGCTGTCCGCGCCGCCGCGGCCTGTGTCTATTTGAGACAGAAGGCCGCCTGCCCAACAGCGGCCGCTGTTGGTTAGAGACAACATGTGTTGTTGGGCATTGTACCAATTTTTTCCTCCTCCTTCTCCTCCCCCTCCTCCTCCTCCTCCTCCTCCTCCTCCTCCTCCTCCTCCTCATCATCATCATCATCATCATCATCATCATCATCATCATCCTCGTCCTACAGCTCCGTCCAGGCTCTCCGGGCCGCGTGCCCAGACCTCCGACGGCATGACGTCGCATGCCGTGCGGCACCGGCTTCCTCGACGTCGGCCTCCGGGGAGCCCTTCGTCGTGGGCCCCTGCGCCACATGGACAGAGAGGAGGAGGAGGAGGAGGAGGAGGAGGAGGAGGAGGAGGGGGAGGAGGAGGAGGAGGAGGGGGAGGAGGAGGAGGAGGAGGGGGAGGAGGAGGAGGAGGAGGAGGAGGAGGAGGAGGAGGAGGAGGAGGAGGAGGAGGAGGAGGAGGAGGACGAGGAGGAGGAGGACCAGTGCAAACGCAAGAGTCGTCAACGGTGCTGGAGCGCTCCTGGAGCGCGCCGGGACGCTCCAGGGGCAGGCCGCGGCGCGCCCGAGACGTCCTCCAGAGAGCCGCCGGGTCGCAGAGGTTCCCGATGTGTCCTCGCCCGATGTTATCCTCGTCCTGGTTTCGTCTTAGGGGAGGAGGAGGAGGAGGAGGAGGAGGAGGAGGAGGATTTGACCTCACCCGATGTTTCCCTCGTCCTGGCTTCCTCTTGCAGCCACACCTCAGAACAAGGATGGGCAACCTTCGCAAGGGTACCCTTGCATCCTTGCCTCCTCGGGCCATCCCTCGTCCCCCCCGCTGGCCGCGCGCCCCGCTCGAGGAGCTTCGACATGGGCGTCCAGGGCCCCTGCATCCTTGTCGCGCATCCTTGTGATACTGGCCGATGGTCAGAGCCCGTCCTCTCTGGGGCTCCCCCGGCCGCCGCCGCCGCCGCCGCGGCCCCGCGGGCCGGGAGCGGCGTCGGCGGGCGCCAGGCCCTGCAGCGGCTGCGCACCACGGAGGGCGAGGCTGCCCCGGCGCGCTTCGAGGACGGAGGGGGTCGCTGCCGTCTGCGCCGTCGCCGAGAGGAGGGATAAAACGACGCGAAGGTCGGGACAAAATCGGATCGGGATAACTCGAAGTCTCTGAGAATCGGCGGGTTTGGAGGCTGTATTGGGCGCCGCGGCCGCTCCAGAGCGCTCCGGAACGCTCTGAGAGCGCTCGGGAACGCTCTGGAGCGATTTATCCCGATCCTAGCCCTGTTTTGCAAGGGGCCTCCCAACGGCCCCAAGAGGCTTGAAAACTGCCTCCACGAGGCCCCCGAGAGGCCTCCTGCGACATCCCTTCGAACATCCTAAAGTCGGCGGCGAGCGAGGGGAGGAAGTGAGAAGGAGAAGGCCTTCTCACCTTCTCCGAAGGATCCTAGCCCTGTTTTAAGGAAGCGGCAGCGCTGCCGCGGCCCGTCTCGCGTCGCCCGAGGGGCCTTTTGGCCAGGCTCCGCGCGCTCGGGCTCCGCGGCCTCGGGCAGACAGGTGTCCCTCGGGCAGGCCCGCATGCCTCTGCCCCAGTGATCCATCCGGCGGATGCGCTCTGAGCCGCTATCCCTCTACCCGTCGCCCAGTGGTGATGATAACTGGCTGGTCGGGGATCGTGACGAGTGAGTGGGTGAGTGAGTGGGTGAGCGAGCGAGCGAGTGAGCGAGTGATGATGATGATGATGATGATGATGATGATGAGGAGGAGGAGGAGGAGGAGGAGGAGGAGGAGGAGGAGGAGTGTGTGAGCGGTGGGCATGTGAGTGAGAGGGTGAGTGAGAGTAGGATGGAAGAGGGGTGAGGAGGATGATGATGAGGAGGAGGAGATTCTGCGCGGGGGGCGCGCAGAGAAAACAATAACCCCACGTTGGGTGTGGTGAACTATGATCTTCGCTGCCCCGTTGGAGGCAACCTCTTGTGTCGGTGTTGCATCCCCGTGATATATATATATACATACATACATACATACATACATACATACATACATACATACATACATACATACATACATACATATATATAATATTTACATATATATAGATGACAAAAGTGGCACCATGATGGAAGCCAAAACGATGTTGAATCAGACCATGCGGGGCCCGTCGCACGAAGCGACATCGGCCTGGCAATGTTACGAAAGGGCGTCTCGTCTGCATTGCGCGGTGCACGTTAGCCATCCGACTGTGGGAACGAAGTCGCACGGCAGAACGTGGAACCGCCCACGCCAGCGGCCCTGAGAAGGATCAATTTGGAAGAGCACCCGGGCATTCAGTGGCGTCCGCCTAGGCGAATGTCATTTCATGATCCTCTTTAGGCGTTGTTGATTTTGTTATAACTTGTTTCCCGGCTGTACAGCGTCAATTTTCAGGCCTCCAACTGTCCGGATGGACGGGCACCAGCCTGAACAATTTTCCGAGCCGCGTCCATCCGGAACGGCGGAAAGTTAAGAGGCTTTTCAAGGACATCTTCTCAAGCCTCCGAGCCCGCGACCCCCCCCAGGATGATGAGGGGAAGGAGGGGGAAGCAGCAGACGGAGATGGACGCAGAGAAGGGAGGAGGAGGAGAAGGAGGAGGAGGAGGACCCGGAGGAGGAAGAGGAGGAGGAGGAGGAGGAGGAGGAGGAGGAGGAGGAGGAAGAGGGGAAGGAGGAGGAGGAGGAGGAGGAGGAGGAGGAGGCGGAGGAGATGCTGATGCGGAGGAGGCTGAGGAGGCTCCTGAGAAAATCTGTGCGGAGGAGGCTCACGAGTTCGCGGGTTGGGCTACAAGCAAAATGGTGCGCTGTTCTTCAGAGTCGAAAAGTCGAAGTCAGGCCCTGCCTGGCAGAAGTTGCAATCAAGAACCCCACCAGCACCGACCCTCTACGAAATTTCTCCATTACCGAAGCTCGTTGAGGGAAAACAGATCGTGCAAGAGATATCCACTCAACTTGGGTGGAAGGCAGAGTTTGTTCATATACGCTCCAGGGGAAGAGGTGCCAAAGCCACGCCAGTCGTACGTTGTCGAGCTGAAGGCCCCCCGTCGGTCTCGGACCTCACCCTGGCAGGAGTCAAAGCAACAATCAACATGGTTAAGCAGAAGAGTGCCACACCAGCCCCATCGGCAACATCCTGGGCTGAGATGATCACGAAGTATGACAAACCTGAGCCCAAGACGACACCGGCTACTAAGAAAACAAGTTTGGCTGCACAACTCACACGACCAGCTCCTGCTCCGCAGCAAGGTCAGCCAGCGCAGCAAACTCCACCACCCTCAGACACACCACCATCTACGCCAGGCTCCGCGATGTCCCCTGAATTTCAGAAGTTTCTGCTTGAAGCAATTGGACAGGCGGTGACTGCAAATAATCAGAAGATCTTTGCCCAATTACAGCTTCAGGGGCAGGGTCTCGCAAAGTGCTTCGAAGTTCTCCGCTCAGATGGAGGCTTATCCAGTGCTGAGCAGCAACAGGATGAAGAGATTGAACGTCTGAGCAAAAGGCTCAAAGACAGTGCTGCAACTGATATGGATCAGTGATGATGCCCTCACGCCGCCTGCGAGGGAAACAAGCACCTGCAGCACCTTCCTGTGGTCCTGCAGGTCTCGCCACTATCCTTTCTGCAAATATTACCAGCTGGAATACTTTTTCTGGCCGCCTTGCTCTCATGAATGCAGATGTCCTTGCGCTGCAGGAGACACGCCTCAATTTGAAGGAGCAGATGGCTTGCACTAAAGCCTGTGCTGCATATGGATACAATGTTTGTTTTGGACTTCCTGTTCGCCAACAACGATGTCATGGCGAAAAGTTCCATCGCAGCTCCCAGGGTGGGGTTGCTATTCTGTCAAGAACTACTTTTACTGCAATGGAAAGCGGACGCAAGCATGGTGCAGCCAAGGAGTTGTATCACAGCACCCGCTGGCAACGGCAACTTGTGATGCTGGGGGCTACTCCTGTTCACATCATTTCTATGTATAATGAGTCGGGCAATGACCCATTGATTCGTACACGCAATGATCGAAACTTTCAGTTTGCCTTCGAGGACGCCGAGGCCCTGGGCGACCAGCCGGTGGTCATGTGCGTGGACTCGAATACGACAATTGCACAAACATCCACGCTGTCCGCAGCCCTGGCTACAGGGCGATGGCACGATGTTGGAGCTATGTATGGAGCGGAACCTACTTACGGCCTGGACCCGAAGTGGGATAAGTATTCGACAGGCAATCATGTTACACGCCCTGATCTTATTTTGGTCAGTACGGCAGCTCGAGATTCCATCCACTCTTTTCGCTTGCGACGGGACCTGGGGATCAAGTGCCACCTAGGTCTGGAGCTCACGCTGAATATCACCAAGCTCTCAGAGGTCTGGCAAAGGTATCGTATGCCTGTGGCCTATCCCGTTGAGCTAGTCAAGAAGATCTCTGAGGAGGACAACGAAGCGTTGGGCAAAGAATGTGTGGATGAGTATTATGACCGGTTCTACGAGGCACTGGACAAAGAAGATGCAAATACAGCGTGGTCTCTCATCGGGCAGATGGGCGAAGCTTTTCTGGAGAAACGTCTTGCGCATACGAACATCAAGTTTGATTTTCGGTACCATGGACGAAGCAAGATGCCAGCGCTTGTTGAGCAATCTGTGGTTGCTCCGACGTCGGCAAAAGACCCTGCCCGAGAAGGTCCCACGACTTCCAAGTTGCGGCAGATCGAGAATGTACTCCACCGTCTCACTGAGCTCTCAAAGAAGATTCACATCTACTTCCAGGGTACAGAGGGACCTTCACTAGAACATCAACTTAGTGCGCAGCGCCTGTGGGGCAAACTGCGTGCAAACATACCGCGTCTTCTTTCAGGACTGGATAATCTACCAGGTAGGCTCCCGACACTGGCCGAGATCGCATCTTGGCAGTCCTTATTAGATGAGAAGCATGCAGTCATTGTGAAAGAGAGAAAGCTTACACGTATAGCTGAATGGCGCAAACGTCTACGTACATCACTCCGCTACGAGGGTGGTCGTGACATGTATTCTTGGATCAAACAACGCCAATATCATTCACTCCATGCGGTACGAGGTTATCAATCCAAGGAGATAGTCACCAAGCGCACTGACATCCTGGACCACATCAACCGTTACTGGAGCACGATATTCAATAAACCTGATCTCTGTGACTGGGATAAGTTCTTTGCACGCTTTGGACGCTATATCCCTTCTTGCCAGTGCACCATCACTGACATCACAGGCTCCAGGCTGCTCAAGCAATTCAGAAAGATGGGAACTACACGTGCTGTGGCGGCCGATGGCTGGAGAGTCGGCGAGCTCCGATTGCTGCCTCTTACCATCTGCGAGCTGATAGCCGTTGCCCTTAAAGGTATTGAGGACCAGTGGCTCCCCTGGCCAGATGTTATGTGCACGGGTATCACGTCCTGTTTTCCTAAGTGGGACCCAGAGGCAGACCTTGCCTCGACCTGTGAACCAGATGAAGTGTGGCTGGCCACGGTTGATCAAACACGGCCGATCACCAACCTCTCGCCAATCTACACTGCCTTGACAGGCGACCGTTTCCAGCAGATGTCTCCCTGGAGAGAAGAGTGGCTCCATCAAGGAGCCGCGGGTGCAAGATCTGGACACCATTACCAATCTATCGCATGGGAGTTGAATATGGAAATAGAACACAGTCAACTCACGGGTACGTCGTTATCGGGTTGTACCGCAGACAGGAAGAAGTTCTTTGATTTACTGGAACATGATATCGGCAATCAACTCATGCAAGCTCTAGGCTGCCCTGCAGGAGTTCTCGCTGCAGAGAAGAGTTTTTATGCTGCTCTATCGACACATTGGAAGGTCGCACAAGCTGTGGGCCCCCCAACTATCAGAAAGAATGGATTTGTTCAAGGAGACTCATGGTCCTTGCAGCAGGCGCTAGCCCTCATGTCGGTATGGTCCAAGGCTCTGGAAGCCGAGGGCCCCGTCAGAGTCAGCAGTTTCATTGATGATGGAAACTTTCGCGCCGAAGGACCAGGTCATGCTGCAAAGACAACACGTGCCACCAATATATCCTTGGAGTTCGATAGCCTCAGTGGCACAGTGACGA